TCAGTGCTTTGAGACTAGCAAAGAGGACGTGTTAAAGGCAAGCCCCATTTACCCAGGCGATAAAGGCATTACACATTATTTGGAAGTCGCCAGACAGAATGCCTCTCTATCAAACACTTCAAATGAATAATGGCTGTTCAATGTTCTTTTGACCATACAGATTGGGTTTGTTTTTCACAGATGTCCGAACAGTTTTGGGATCTGGTTCCATCAGATAAAAACAGCCTGGTGTGCACTAGGTAGAGGAAACATCAAAAACCAATAGTAGATAAAAGAAAATTAGTCACTCAAAGGAGCTGCACAGATGGTCTTCATCTGGGCAAAATGCCTACCAAGAGTTAGAATGACCAATGGTGAGGAAACAGGACCCAAATGTTGAAAAAGGATTCTGCCTGCCATCTCTCAGCACTCACCATTAACAATGACTCTACAAAAACATCCTCGTTGTTAATCATGCCTTTAATTCATCATGTCATATAAAAAAAGAATTTTCTCCAGCAGGAATTCCAGTACAGGATGAAGCCTGTGCTCACCCGCAAAGTGTTCTCATCTCATCACATAGCCATGTGAATACAAACAAGCATTATGCTGGAGAACAACAATGATGCTATCAGGCTGGTACCAAGATTGATACTTCCTATTTAAGAAACCATGTTAATTACATATGTATTAAGTTCCGGTTTTTACAAGACAACACCGGTAACCTCAGAGATGAACTTCTAGTATATAATAGTATTGATACCTTCAAATTCGGGGTAGACGATCTAGAGCTTGATAAACCGGCTCTAAATCTGAGTCTCAATTAAAGCCTGACTTTATCAACTCCCCAAGGCCTTCCAGATGGCTCTCCATTGCAAATCTTCTCCTCTCTAAACATCATGTCTTCCTTTTAAATGTCTATTTGACATTGCTCCTTGTGTGCTGGCCCATTTGCAAAGTATCAGGCCCCACGTTTAAAATCCAAGAGAATTCTCTCCAGTGACTCATTATTCTCTCTGTATTAAGTGAAGATCAAGAGAGTAGTCTTGCCTGGTGATGTGTACAGCATTAATCAAAATGGCTCCAATCTTTTTAAACAGCCAATGTCTTTCATTAACTTTAAGCAGAAACAAAGGCATGATGCCTCCTCCTATATTGAGACCTTTGTTACTTTTTATAAAATGGATATAGAATATGAATTTAAAATATATTAATCTCTCAATGATAACCTTACTACCTAAGCAAAAATTAAATTTAATTTATTTGTTTTATCTTTTAGCAAGCCTTAATTTTCCACCACATTGAGACAAAAGACTAAAAAATACTCTGTCCAGGACACAAAAGGAAAAATGTTTCTTTCCATCCCTTACATTATTCTCTATTGCAAGTAGAAAGAAATACTGTTTAATGGCCTAATCATTTCAAGGAGCCTTGAAAATCATTTCTCTAAATCAAGAAGGGCAGAAAAATTTTACCACTATCATCCCTTCAAATGCATGTTTGGCTCCTGGGTATCTTTCCCTGTCTCCAGTTGCATACTTGCCCCCACCCATTGAAGCTCTCAACTCACAACATGCAGTTCCCCATTGCTCGTGGTGATCTGTTTCAAGCTCTCAGAGAAGCAAGACTGATAAACCTGGAAGACAATCACTAACAAAATAATCATCCCTAATTTACTACTCCCATTTGTTCTTTACTATATTCATTCTCCAGAAAATCATAGATGATCAAAAGATTACCTGGTGCAAAACTCATTTTATAAGACAGAAAACTAAGCCTCAAAGAGGTGATGTACCCAAGGGTATGGGTAGTTAGTGGCAGATTCACAATGAAAACAAAGGTGTCCTCTCATTCAGTGTTCTAGGCACTCTAATGCCCAGTCCAGCGTGCACTCCACCTCAACAGTCTCAGATTGAAACCTGAGCCAGCTGCCTCGGCAGACAAATGCAGAGTAAGAGCCCTCCCCACTGTACACACACTCTTACACTTCCAGCTGCTCCTCCAGGGGCCACAGGTTCCAGCTCAAGCAAATGTCTGGGAAATGAGCCATACTCAAGGCTGGACACACTCAGCTCCAACCACCATGTCAAAATGATCATTTTTAAACTTTTGTGAAAACATATTTTGTTTCCCCATTTTATTTTAGAGTATTTCAAAGCATAGCATACAGGCTGAATTACATAGGCACAGGAGGCAAGACTAGGGAAAACAGCTAGAGTCAGCTGATCCCCCTTCAACTTCAATAAAAATAGTTGACAGTAAGCACATTCTCCCCTCTTTCTTCCTTGCCAGAAAGCAACAACAAGGAATCCTCCACTCCAGGGTGATCCAGAATAGGCTATAGCCTCACCACACTACATTCAAAAGGATCAGAATACAGAGCCAAAGCACTAGACAACTCAGTAGGGTTATTGAGATGCAGGTAGGTTCTAAGAAGAATATAGAAAATTCCGAACTTCTCAAATAACATTACTCATACTGTCAATTAATCAAAATGTTGACCAGTTATTATTTACTAGTCACTATGCTAAGTGCTACAAAGACCAATAAGACTACTTGTCTTCAGGTAGCTTGCAGTCTAGCAAGAAATGAGCTACAAAGAAAACAAGAAAGTCAATATGTAAATGAATGGCATGCAGTGCACAAGAAATATGCATGAACAGCCCTGTATCAGAGAAGAACAAGCAACACAAAAGCAGTCTGTGAAGACCCATGTTGTATAAAGGGCCACATTAGGCACCACAGGAGTCACAAAGATGAAGAACTTACTAGCCTTGAAGGCTGACCGTAAAATCTAAACATGGAAATAAACACATGTCTTACCCATAGCTTTTAAAGCCAAATAAAACACATTACAAAATGAAATAAAAGTTACTAGAGAGGTAGGTGTAAGCTACATGTGATGGGTGGAACTATTTATTTCCAGGTATCAGGTAATCAGGCCAGGTAATCAGGCCAGACCTGGAAGATACATTTAAATAGGATTTTGAAGAACAAGTAGCATTTTCATAACCTAAGCATGGGGAAGGGCATTTCAGAAACAATACCTTGACAAAGGGTGGGTAAGCTTTGAAAGAAGGCCTGGAGAAAAATCAGGACCCCATCAGCCCAGGTCCTGGAACATGGTGGGGAGTAAGGCTAAAAAGGAAGTTGTATGAACTCAAATACTAATTCAAATGCTAAGAGGCTTACACTTCATTCTGTGTGCAAGCTAACGGCAGAAGAAAAGGCACAATCAGAGCCATGCTTTGAGAATCATTATTGCAAGGATGTCAAAGATGGTCTGAGGAAAGCAACTGGGAAAAGCAAGCATAGCTCGTCCAAGTGGGTTAGAGAGTCTGAGTTAGAGGAAGCTTGGAAATAGATGATGTGAGAGATGCTGCAGCTTCTGAGATTGCTGCCTGGTCGTGTATAGAGGAGGGGCAGTAGGACTCATTCTGAATCTTGTCTTGAAAAGTAGGTAGATAGTGATGCCAAAACCAGGACTAGGAAAGTCACTTGAAGCTGCATCCTACTTCCTCTTCCATCTGTATCTGCTTCACCTATCAAGGATATCTACCATTACCACTAAAATTCAAGTGCTTATGGCCTCCCTCATTCATCAGGTAGGGTTTATCTGGCCAGGAAAGAGAAGCCCCTTCAGGCATTTGCAACAGAGGGAGTTTGAGTCAGAGAACTGGTCACCCTGCTATTTGAGATTGCCATCAGCAAGAGGCTGTTACCATTCCAAGGCTGCAGGGACAAAGGAGTGAGCAATCCTCTGGGAGACTGAGGAAGGAAGTTCCTGGTTTCTCCCCACTTTCCACTTCCCACTTTTACTCATCCGTCCTCCAATTCCCCTTTGGCTGAGCCCAGCTGAAACCCAGCTGACAGGGGAGTTTGAGCAAGCAGCCTCCAGGGTCAGCCCTCTGAGTTACAGGTAGAGCAGGACAGGGAGGAATGGATCTCAGGACAAATGGGTCCAGGATGCAGCAAACTAATTTTACGCTCCATCCATTGAATTGGAACTACTGGCCAGCCTCCCCCAAGTTAGCATGTAGAATATGGGATACCAGCTGAGTGCCTGAGAGGTATCATTCACCTCAATGACCCCCACTGGGACAGAGAAGGGTAACATACAGTCAGCCATATCTATATCCACTGGCCCTTCCTTGTCCTAGCCCTCTGTATTCGTGAGAAGGAACTATTCTCAAGGACCTGAGTTCAAGTTCATCTTACTTAGAGTAGAGAGAAACGAACAGCTAACTCCGTCTCGCTTTCCTTGTTATCTCCAATCATGTCTCCTCTCCCTTCTAGTTCTCATCACTCTGTACTCCCCACTGCCCTCCTTTTCTCCATCTTCATCACCTTTGTCCAGTTTCCATCCCCATTTTCAATTCCCTTCTAAAAACACCAAGTTGCTTGGTAGCATGCAGGGTTAGAACATGCCTTTAACAGTAAATCTCATGTCTCTTGAACCTAGTTATTTATTCCTTGAGCGGAATAGATATTCAACCAAAGAACTGTTGAATTCAATTAAATGGGATATATCTTATTATTAAATTATTGATTCACTTTTTGTTTACTTATATCATGGTAACTTCAGTCGTTTCTGGAATTGTCTCCACAGCACCTGGCCAAGGAATCTGCAAGGAAAAGAAAGATCAAATGGAAAATCAAGGTGCATGACACCAGAAGACCTACATGTTATGTCAAACTTTTTTTTTCCTCATGAACCATTCAAATAGAGTATAACTCTTCTGGCAGCCGTACATATGTTCATAAATACATGATATTGACCCATAGCATAGCACCTCTGCTCAGTTTCTAACGAGTAAGAATGAAGAGAGGACATGGTCTTTAGGAACATGAATTTCTGCCCTTCCCGTTTTCCTTCAGAAGAAGAGATTCTTCTATGACCTCATTTAGGACGGAAATTTTAACCAAAATGGTGTCACCCCTGAACCCACTGCGACACGCCACGTAAGTGACCACAGAAGGAGAAAAGTCCTATAAAAAGAGAGACGATAGTGCTACATTTTGTCCATCTCGTAGCAGGCACAAACTCATCCATCCCCAATTGACTGGAAGAAGCAACAATGACTCCTGGGAAGACCTCATTGGTGGTGAGTCTGCACTAACGTGCGATGCTCTTGTTGATTTGGACCAGATAGTATTTCCGGACCACGGGCATGAAATGCTGGGTTCTGACTATGGAGATCCAGGAATACCGTATATGTAAGATAGGAAATAAAAGTTTTGGTAGATATTTAAGTCATTGTGCAGCATTTTCAAGAACTGATATACAGCAGTTTGAAAGATAAGATTAAAACTGAAAGATAGCTATATTGGGGCTAAACCACACAAGAAGTGTCACATGATGCTGTGCAGTAAGAAAGAAAATTTATTGAAAGTCTGTTTTTCTGAGTACAAAGGATTTAATATAATTCTCCCACGGCATTTTTCTTTAAAATGGGTCACTATCCTTGAGATTTTGAAAGCCGTAGCAGCGACGTTTGTTTCCATTGTCTCGTACCATACTCTCGGTACATCGAAACTATGTATTCTAACTAGATATAGGTGTAACTGTGTTTTAGAATAAATGGGTTTTATATTTTTTAAATATTTAACTTCAAGTATCTTTTTTGAAATATGATTTTATTACAGAATCAATATATGTTAAACGTAGAACAACTGGAAAATATACCTAAGAAAATATGAAGGAGATCGAGCTTTTAGTTGGATGCCTGCCAGTAGCACCAACAGCACTTTTAGCATGAATATTGATACCACATAGATTTTCTATAGCTCTTTCTTCCAATGTGAATGTTTGACTTCACATTGAGTTTTACAGAATGTGGGACTGAGAATAAGGGTGCAGGAGGACATTTCTACCTAGAAAATCAAGGTTATTATTCCTTCCTAGACCTGACAATGATGCATGTGCTGATAGGCTGATGACAAGCCATGACTTGACATTTTTACTAAAATTATTGCCAGCCAATGGATAACATGTCTTTCCTAAGTCAAAAGAAGAATGTTGAAACTGTTTTTTAAAAAAAAAAAATTAAGTCATGGTGTTAACACTATGTTGGTCATCTACCTAGATTTTTCTCTAGCTGATCTGAAAAATGTAGTATAGATTGTCCTGGAACATTGTGTGTTCTCTATGATTACCAATGCATCATCATCACAATCAATTTGTTGAAAAGAACCACATAGTAATCCAATCTCCAACCTCTCTCTTGTTTCCCATTCAATTCTAGCTACTGCTGCTGCTGCTGAGCCTGGAGGCCATAGTGAAGGCAGGAATAGCAATCCCACGAAATCCAGGATGCCCAAATTCTGAGGACAAGAACTTCCCCCGGACTGTGATGGTCAACCTGAACATCCATAACCGGAATACCAATACCAGTCTCAAAAGGTCCTCAGATTACTACAACCGATCCACCTCACCTTGGAATCTCCAGTACGTAAAGCTTTCAGATAAAAATACTATATTCTTCATCCCTCTTATGCATCAGACTGCCAGTTAAATCTCCCCAAGGGTGATTTTATTCATTTAGAATTACCAGTCAAATCTGGAAGGACCACCGTGAAGAGCAATTCTCAAACTTTCTACAGATATTTCTTTAACAAAGCACAGGACAGCCTCCAATAATCCCCATCCTGTTAGATCTAATTGTCACTGACACCAATAATCAACCCAAATTAATTATAATCATTATTCTAATATTTGTGAGACCCTAAGTCTATTGTTTATTTATTCAAAGAATAGACATTTATCAAAGGGGATTAACGTTTTTATTCTCTTAACCAGAGCTACCATTGAGAAGATTTATTACAAATAATTAGTAATTAGGGTTTTTTACTTTTTTTTTTTTTTTGCTTATTTTTGTTTTTGAATCCCAGTGTAATAAGTATCCCTGGGATATTTCTACCCCTTTGTGTGTTAGATAGTCTTGATCTACTTCCTAACATACCTATGCTTCCTGTGTCCTCAGCATACCCAGTGTTTAGACCCCCTCAAGGGTTAAATACACAACATATTTTGATCATTTGACTTTATACAAATAAGTCTCTGTTCTGTGGAGCCTACAGATCAGTCTGATTGTAGAATTTCTTTTCTTCTTCCCATTACTAGGAAGAGTCAAAATAAATCAATTCAAAAATCCAAGCAAATTATTACTGAGCTAAAAGAGAGTGGGAAGAGAAGGTTATAGAGACACTTAACCTTTTGTTTCCAGCCCTTTATCTCAGCTCTGGGCTCTGTCCCATGAATGTGATCTCAGATAAAATTCTGATGTATTCCCTCTTCAAAGACAGATTTCAACAAGTCAGATAAACAGCTATCTTATTCTAGATGGTTCCAAGTCTACTCTTCCTTTGGTCTTCTTCTGTCTGTCAAATATACCCTAAAAAAGTTATCATTTGTGTCAAACTTAAATTTTTTCTGTGGCCTCAGTCTATCTTATTTTATTCATTCTTCAAATAAATTGGGGAAAACGCGATCATTGTCTTCTTTTCTATAACAATTCATGTGCTTATCCAAATTGTCCCCAAAGTTCTTCTTCAAACTAACATCATTTAAAGAATTTGCAATGCCTATAATTTGTCATCCTGTGAACTTGCCTCTCTTCATGGATCCCTGCTTTATTTCTTTCCCACTTTACCAGGAATTCACTTTCCTCCTGATTTTTCTCCCCTCTGCAGCCGCAATGAGGACCCTGAGAGATATCCCTCTGTGATCTGGGAGGCAAAGTGCCGCCACTTGGGCTGCGTCAACGCTGATGGGAATGTGGACTACCACATGAACTCTGTCCCCATCCAGCAAGAGATCCTGGTCCTGCGCAGAGAGCCTCGGCACTGCCCCAACTCCTTCCGGCTGGAGAAGATACTGGTGTCCGTGGGCTGCACCTGCGTCACCCCTATTGTCCACCATGTAGCCTAAGAGCTCTGGGGAGCCCACACTCCCCAAAGCAGTTAGGCTTTCTGGAGAGCTGGCTCAGCCTCTCAGGAACCCTCATCCTTCAAAGACACAGCCCCATTTCGGACTAAACTCATTAGAATTCTTAAGGCAGTTCGTCCAGTTGAAGCTTCAGAGGTAACTTGGCCAAGAGATGAGATCTGAATTATCTTTCCCTCTTTCCAAGAAGGAATTTGCTTCTTGTTCACTTTTTTAAGGGCTTTAAGTTATTTATATATTTAATATGCCCTGAGATAACTTTAGGGTATAAGATTCCATTTTAATGAATTACGTACTTTATTTTGTATGTCTTTTTAAAGAAGACAAGATTCTGGGCTTGGGAGTTTTATTATTTAAAAGGTAAAACCTATATTTATTTGAGCTATTTAAGGACCTATTTATGTTTAAGTATTTAGAAAAAGGTGAAAAAGTGCGATTATCAGTTATGCCTAGGTAAATGTGAGATAGAATTAAATGGCAGCGGAAAATTTCTGAGTCTTTACAACATACGGATATAGTATTTCCTCCTCTTTATCTTGTAAAAGTTATAACATGGCTGAAAAGAAAGACTAAACCTACTTTCATATTTATTAATTTAAATTTTGTAATTTGTTGAGGTTTTACAAGAGATACTACAAGTCTAACTCTCTGTTCTGTTAAACCCTCATAATAAAATCCTTCTGTAATAATAAAGTTTGGAAAGAAAATGTTTATTTGTTCTCATTAAATGTATTTTAGCAAACTCAGCTCTTCCCTATTGGGAAGAGTTATGCAAATTCTCCTATAAGCAAAACAAAGGATGCCTTTGAGTAACAATGACCTGGAACTACCCAATTCCAAGTTCTCCATTTCACAGGCCTTCAAGACTGACGACCCATTAAGGTTTTCATACTATTAGCCAATGCTGTATACAGAAGCATTTTGACAGGAATAAAGCAAACAAAATAATGGCCCTGAGGAATGGCATGTCATTACTGAAGATCATATGGGGAAAATGAAACCTCCTCAAAATACAGGAAGTTCTGGAAGGAGACATTGTCTTCAGACTACAATGTCCAGTCTCTCCCCTAGACTCAGGCTTCCTTTGGAGATTAAGGCCCCTCAGAGATCAACAAACATTTTTCTCTTCCTCAAGCAATACTCCTAGGGCCTGGCTTCTGTCTGATCAAGGCACCCCACAACCCAGAAAGGAGCTGATGGGGCAGAACGAACTTTAAGTATGAGAAAAGTTCAGCCCAAGTAAAATAAAAACTCAATCACATTCAATTCCAGAGTAGTTTCGAGTTTCACATCGTAACCATTTTCGCCCCCATGGCCCAGCGTGCTGTCTTGCCCTACTTCTGAAGGCCTCTAGAAATTCTCAGGCCACTCCACAGGCTCCCTGCTTCTTGAAAGACCTTCCTCTTCACTCCGTCCTGCTCCATCCGGTGTGCCCCAGCCCACCCAGAGGCCCACGGCTTTTCTCGGCCTTTTTCCCCATTCCAAATCCAGGGGTTAGCCTCTCCAGCCACTTCCTCTCAGTGTCATTTTGTGCACACATCTTGATTCCTGTCACCATCCCTGTCACCATCTTCCTACAGGAAATCCCCAGGCAGCTTCCAGAGACAGTTCCTCACAGCCTTTACACTTTCAAGCTTCTCACTAAAAACCTGCTGCTTGTTTTCGAGCTTTCCCTGAACGGTGGTGATGAAAAGAAAAAATTGTTTTAATTTTTATTGGGAAGAGGGGATTGCAAAAGAATATATATGTCCATATATATAGATAGATGGATAGATATCTATATAGAGAGATATATATGTCTATATATATGTCTGTGTGTGTATATATGTGTGTGTATATGTGTGTGTGTATATATATGTATGTGTGTGTGTATATGTGTGTGTGTGTATGTGTATATATATATCTCCATGATTCGGAACCATTATTTCCCACTAGATTTTGGGTGGGGGGTGTGGGGCTGGGAAGAGGCAGTTGCTTTCCATGTACTCCTCCCCTGATATGCTTTACTTTTATTCTCTCTTCATTTTCCCCAGTTAGCACTACCATGTGGCTAGTCATCCAAGCTAGAAATCTGTGTGGCTTCCCTGAATCTTTTTCCTTCTTCCTCTCCCTCATTCCTAACATCCACATATCACCAAATACTGTATTCTCACTTCCCAAAGTTCTCCAAGGAACCCCCTCTTCCCCACCAATACCATACTACCCAGGTTCAGGACTATACCTATTCTCATTTCTCTCCCCCATGAGTGGGAAGAACAGCCTTCCACCTGTTCTTGCTGTCATTGTTCCCATCTCTCAATCCATCCTCCGACCTGTACCAATGACACAAATTCAAATAAAACAAAAAGCACCCCCAGCAATCTGGCCCTGCTCCCTCTCCTGTTCTATCCCAGGGTGCTTCCTCCTTCACATTTTACCCTCGAGTAGTGGTGAAGTTGTTGTGGACACCACTACGCAGTTCTTGACCTTGATGCCTATGCCATGTGGTCCCTTCTGCTGTGAATTCCCTTGCCACCTTCTCCCTGCTGTCCCTCCAGTCACACACTGCCCTCCCCACTCTCCCCCACCTTTATTGATCTACTCACACATTAACACTTTCTTTAGGTCTCATCTTCTCTAAGAATACTCCTGGACCCATCACTGCCTGTTATCCCAGATTAGGTCCCTCTCTCTCTTATGGGCTCCAAAAGCACTGTGCATATCCTTTATCACTGACCTTACATACTCTATCAACTTTACCTATTTGGCCAGTTTGTGGCTCCTCGAGAGCAGAAACATCAGCACCTGACATGGCCGGTAGTACACAGTCAATACTCAGTTGAACTTTGAACCGATAGTCCACAGACACCTCAAAATCAACAAAGACAAAGCTAGGCTCGCTGGCTTTACTCCCAAACTGGCTCCTCCTACTGCTTTTCTATCTCCTGGAATAGCATCATCTACTTCTTTGAGCTGGAAACCTAGCTTTCTCTCCATCCCTCATTCCCCTCATCCAATCAATGACCACCTCTTCATCAATGTCGCACATGTCCTCCCCTTCCTTGCTAACTCCAAGTTTACTATTACAGTTGCATTGTATTATGACACTAACTGGCCTCTCTGCCTTGCTTCTTATATTTAATAATTTGGTATCTCTCAAACTTGTGGGGGAGTCTAGTCAGAGTAGGTAATTAATAGCTTCTGCAACAGACAAAGTCCAAATAAACAAAGGTTTGTTTCCTGTGCATGTTACAATCCAGCAGGGATCAATAAGGAGCTTTACTCTACTTGGCCACTGAGAGACCCAGGCTGACACAGAGGTTCTGACTTTTACAGCACCATCTAGCACTGCAATGTCTAACACAGTAACCACGAGGAATTTGTAGCTATCGAGCGCTTGGAAAGTGGTTAGTCCCAGTTAAGTTGTGTTATAAGTGTCAAATACATACTAGATTTCAAATACTTAAGTTTTTTTAATGTAAAATATCTTTTGTTACTTTTTATATTGATAAATGTTAAAATGTACTTGGTTAAACATATTAAATTTATTAAAAATTCATCTATTTTTATTTTTTAAATGTGCTTACAATAATTATATAATTAAAATGTGGCTAGCATTGTATTTCTGTTGGACATATAACCAATGAAAGAAAAGAGAAGGCTAAAAACTACACATTCAGTGTTAAAGGGCCAATCTTATTGACCAGAACTCAGTCACACAGACCCAAATTAAAGCTAGTGGAAACTGGGAAATGAAATATTTCTATGGGTCCATGAAAAAGAAATGAAATGGGATTTGGTGGACACATAGCATTACTTCTCCCATCACACATATGATGAATGAAGGTTTGTGCATGACATCGTCTCACAGTCACAAAATTCTAAACAGCTAAGCTGTTACACGGCCACTTCCTGGTGGAAGATGGTCTTGGGTGCAAGTAACAGTGACATTATTGTAAAAATAAACTTGAATCAATACTAATTTTTTTAAAAATAACCTTTACAAACTTTGGCAATTAACACACTAGAAAGCAACCCACATGGGACATACCTCACAACTAACAGCTGCACACCTGTGTTTCGAAATTACACGGCAATTGTTACTCTTCCATCTCTTCCCATGTTTCAAGAGGTCCTCTCTAAAATGTAAATCTGATCACATTAATCCCCTGGTTACTCCTCAGTACCTCCCCCATACCTGTAAGATAAAGTACCGCCAACTGTCTTGCATGACACAGAAGATACTCTATGACCTGGCCCAGTCCACCTCTCGCAGTATTTCAACCCACCATCCTCCCTCCCTGCTGCCAGTATCAATGCCATGCCTAACTGTTCTCACAATCTGGGACTTTGCTTATGCTTCCTGCTCACCTGGAATAGCCTTCCTTAGTCTTCCCATTTCTCATCTCCATTAAACTGATGAAAATATCAACACATTTTTAAAATTCAGATTAAGCAAAAAGACATCTCTGGAGATGGAATTTGAGGAACTATTATAACACGTTCCCCAGTTGATTTCAATGCATCATCTCCAGTAGCCATCCATTGACCAGCCTCTGGGAACCATTGATGGAGAACCAGCTAGAGATGCTGATATCTCAGAATACAGATGAAGGTTAACAAAGAAATACATTGATGATAAACATAAATTGGGGCTGGGCATGGTGGCTCACACCTGTAATCCCAACTCTTTGAGAGGCCAAGACAGGAGGATCACATGCCAGGAGTTCAAGACCAGCCTGGCAAACATGGTGAAATGTCGTCTCTACTAAAAATACAGAAATCATTCGGGCATGGTGGTGCCTATCTGTAATTCCAGCTACTCAGGAGGCTGAGGCACAAAAATCTCTTGAACCTGGGAGGCGGAGGTTGCAATGAGCTGAAATTGCGCCACTGCACTCCAGCCTGGGTGACAGAGTGAGACTCTGTTTAAAAATATATATATATTATATATATTATTTTTTATACATGTTACGTATTATACAATATATTTTATATAATATAATATGTTATGTATTTTATAAATATATAGTATACATTTTATGTAATATATTATATATTATATATCATATATCATATACTTTATATAATATATAATATATTATGTAATATATATTACATATTTTTTATATATGTTTTTAAATAATATATTTATATGATGTATTTTTATATATTACATATATAATTATATGTTTTATATTATATATTATTTAAATTATATATATATAAATTGATCTTAGATAACAAAGATAGGGAGCAGAGACAAAATTATGTGAAAAACAGAAATTTCAAAGAAGAAACCTGAATAAATTAAGGAGACAATAAGGAAAGTTTTAATGGGGAAAAAAAAGATTCCTGGGTTGGAAATTTATTTAAGTGCATCTGAAAACTGGGTTTAGACAAATTAATTTTAAAAGGTTATAACCAAAATATATTCAACAATTTTTTTTAATTTTAAAAATAAAAAACATAAAAGACTCATATCCAGAAGGAATACATAAAATATCTAATCAGGAACAAAAATTATATTGACATCAGACTTTTTTACATAACACTGAAAGCTAATAAAGTAAAATTTTCAAAGCACTAAAAGGGAGAAAGTAAAGATCAGGCAGTATCTGCTCAGGCAGGTCTTCCTTGACAACCCAATGAATGATAAATTTGTAATATTTTATTGAGTTGCATACTTATGGGTTGTGCATTTTTCTGTATATATGTAATAGTTTAAATTCTGCTCACGTTTGAGGGCTAGTTTCAGGTGTCAACTTGACTGGATTAAGGGATACCCAAATAGCTGGTGATACAGTTTGACTCTGTGTTCTCACACAAATCTCATCTCAAATTGTAATCCCCACGTGTCGAGGGAGAGACCTGGTGAGAGGTGATTGGATCACGGAGGTGATTTCCCCCATGCTGTGTTCTCATGATAGTGAGTGAGTTCTCAAGAGATCTGATGGTTTAAAAGTGTCTGGCAGTTTCCCCTTCACACACTCTCTCTCCTGCCGCCATGTAAGATGTGGCTTGCTTCTCCTTAGCCTTCCACCGTGATCGTCAGTTTCCTGAGGCCTCCCCAACCATGCAAAACTGTGAGTCAATTCAACGTCTTTCCTTTAAAAACCACCCAGTCTCACATAGCTCTTTATAGCAGCGTGAGAACAGACAGCTGGTAAAGCATTACGTCTGAGAATGTCTGTGAATGTGTTTCCAGAAGACAGTAGCATTTAAATCATTGGATGGAGTAAAAAAGATCCACCATCATTCAATGTGTATAGGCACCATCCAATCGGCCGAGGGTGCAGATAAAACAAAAAAGTAAAAGAAAGGCAAATTTGCGCTCTCTCTCTCTCTCTCGCTCTCTCTCTCTCTCACTCTCTCTGCCTCCCTCTCTCCCTCTCTTCTGGAGTAGGGGATACCCATCTGCTCCTGCCCTCGGACATCAGAACCCCATGTTCTCTGGCCTTCAGACTCCAAGGCTTGCACCAGTGAACCCCGAGGTCTCAGCCTCACACTGAGAGTTATACCATTGACTTTCATGTTTCTCAGGCCTTGGGACTTGGACTGAGCCG